TCACTCCATCAGTGAGATGAAAGACAAGAGCCAGCCGAGGTGTCATTACACAGAGAACAGAGCGAGCGAAAGCTGTCTGGCTGTAGATCTGACGGATCAGTCATTTGAGTCTGTTTCCTAATGAAAGGCTTCAGTAATTAGTGTCTGTGATCAGTTGTCAGTGTCTCACACATTCATTGAGCGTAAATACACACCGAGGCCTGGTTTCACAGACAGGGTTTAGATTAAGCCAGGATTTAGGCCTTAGTTCAATTAGAACATTTAAGTATGTGTAGACCCGTATTAAACATTCACAGATGGATGTAAGCTGCAGCACAGACTGGCAGCAAATGTTGTAAACATTCAGACGGATAGTCCTAAAACCTGACAGGTGAATCTAAACCATCACCAGCAGCGGCTCCAAATCTCTCCGCTCACATTCAGACATTAATGCCTGAAATAGACATCTGAAGAGGGCAAATCTGCCCTGATGGACCCCTGGACGCAGGCTTTTACAGCTCTCACCGCCAGCTGAAAGCCAAGAACACCAGTGCAGAATGAGCTCAGGATGGGAAAAGAGTAAATGAGGGTGGCGAAAGTGTTTCCAGAAAGTGTCTGCAGGAGTTTATTGCTTTACTCAAAGTGCTCGTGGGGAAAAACTCACACGGCACATGTCAATCCTCCTCTTTAGTGACATACAGACATTAAGAACCAGCATATGAATCTCAACAATGGTGGCAAAGCTTCATGTCGCCCATCCATAAGTCCCAGCATGCATTGCGGAATGAAACGTTTCGTTTGTCACCATTGTTGAGATTCATACGTTGATTCTTGATAGCTGTGTTTGACTGGTTTCTACTGCAACTTTTAACTTTCTGAACTTTTTTTAAAAAGTTATTCTGCACGTTTGGATAGCTTGATGTAGTTTCACAACAAAACATAATTAAAAAAATGCACACCATCCATATACTCAAAAACTTGATCATAACTTACTGATTATGACATCATCAAGAACCATCTGATCATATTTTCTCTCGCCAGAACAGATGTATTTGATTAAAATACAGTTACAGCAACCAGAGAAAAAGTAAAAGAAGAGTAAAGGGTCAAGAGCCCAAATAAAGGAGCTATTAATCACGATTCTGGTGACTTCAAATAAAACATTCAATAAAACATCAAACCTCTGTTAATTCTCAATAAGAGCTTGTTTATGTTGATTCATGGTGTCTAAAACATCCAAATGTTCAAACAAACTCTATTGAACATCATTGGATTGAGTGAGCTTAAAACATTGTCTTGTTTTTTGTGTGCACATTCTGTACTCGACAATTGATTAAATGTTTAAAATTTTTACATTTGACGCTTTTGCTTATTTTTTTACCTGAGCACTCATCACATGTCTTAAAATACGACACATGATGTGTCATTTTTAACACATCTCTTTTTGCAGTGTGTATATATCCAGACACAAATAATCGCTTGAGATGACGTGACGAGTGAATTTGCAAGTGTAGTTTTGGGTGAGGAGCTCCTTAAGTCAAGAAGCACGAGAATCCTGTGTCTCTGTGTGTGAGTGTGAGGCAGACAGACTTTAGCTTCAGGGTACAGCCAGTGTTCGTCAGTGAGCGAGGCAGTCGACAGGTTCACAGCTTCCAGCCCGAGGCCTCGCCAGAGTCGTCCTCAGTAATTGCTTCCCATGTCACTCTATGACACCTCAGCCTGTACCAACTTAACCCAGCCTGAACCAAACTAAACCACCCTGGACAAACTTAACCCACACTGTAACAACTTAACCAAACCTGTACCAACTTAACCAAGCCTGGACCAATTTAACCAAACCTGTACCAACTTAACCAAGCCTGTACCAATTTAACCCAGCCTGAACCAAACTAAACCACCCTGGACAAACTTAACCCACACTGTACCAACTAACCAAGCCTGGACCAACTTAACCAAACCCTTACCAAACTCAACCAACCTGTACCAATTTAACCCAGCCTGAACCAAACTAAACCACCTTGGACAAACTTAATCCATCCTGTACCAAACTAAACCACCCTGGACCAACTTAACCCAGCCTGAACCAAACTTAACCACCCTTGACCAACTTAACCCAGCCTGAACCAAACTAAACCACCCTGGACAAACTTAACCCATCCTGTGCCAAACTAAACCACCCTGTACCAACTTAACCAAGCCTGAACCAAACTTAACCACCCTGGACCAACTTAACCCAACCTGAACCAAACTAAACCACCCTGTACAAACTTAACCCACCTTTTACCAACGTAACCCAGCCTGAACCAAACAAAACCACCCTGGACCAACTTAACCCAGCCTGAACAAAACTAAACCACCCTGGACAAACTTAACCCAGCCTGAACCAAACTAAACCACCCTGAACAACTTAACCCAGCCTGAACAAAACAACCCACCCCAACTTAACCCAGCCTGAACCAAACTAAACCAACCTGGACCAATTTAACCCAACCTGAACCAAACAAAACCACCCTGTACAAACTTAAACCAGCCTGTACCAACTTAAACCTTTTATATATATATATGTAAATATATATATATATATATAACCTACTATTTTATATATAACACACACACAGTATCTCACAAAAGTAAGTACACCCCTCACATTTCAGCAAACATTTTAGTATATCTTTTCAACGGACAATACTATAGAAATTAAACTTGGATATATGTAAAAGTAGTCAATGTGCTGCTTGTATAGCAGTTTAAATTTACTGTCCTCTGAAAATATCTCAACATTCAGAGGACTGGCAACAAAAGTGAATTCACCCTAGCTGAACATGACAAAACTGTGTCCAAAGTGTTTTGTGTGAGCACCATTGAAAGCCCTGTCTTAATCTTCCTGGACACGGAGTTCACCAAAGCTGCGATCCTCTTCCACTCCTCCATAATGACACCCTCAAACTGCTGGATGTTAGACACATGGCACTTCACTTTCCGCTTGAGGATCACCAAAGGTGCTCAATAGGGTTCAGGTCTGGAGATACTTGGCCACTCTTCCTCAGCAAGGCAGTTGTGGGGTCATTATCATGCCGTTCGGCCCATTTTCTGAAGGGGGCACATCATGTTCGGCTTCAGAATGTCACAGTACATGTTTCCCTCAATGAAGCACAGCTCCCCAGTACCAGCTGCCGTCATGGACCCCCAGACCATGATGCAAGTTTATCTCAGTCTCATTAGATTCAGACCACAGGACTTGGTTCCACTAATTCATGCTCTTGGACAAGTTGCTTTCAGGGCTTTCTTGTGAGCCGGCTTTCTTCTGGGACGACGGCCATGCAAACCGACTTTTTGCAGTGTGTAGCATATAGTCTGAGCACTGACAAGCTGACCTTCTGCTTCTGCGACCTCTAAAGCAATGATCTTGCATCTGTTTTTTGAAGCCAGAGTCTGCACCTGACGCACAGCATGAAGACTCGACTCTTTGATTGACCCTTGCAAGGCCTGTTACGAGTGGAACCCGTCTGGGAAAACAGCCCGTGCCTCAAATCCTTAGAGAGTTCTTTGCCATGAGGTGCCATGTTGAACATCCAGTGGTCAGTATGAGAGAATTGTACTCAAAGCACACATTTTAACGGCTCTAATACAAGATACACACATTTGTATGGGCCTGTCAAGCAGACAAAAACATGAACATGATGAATAGGACATGTGGCTTTACATACAGCAATCATCACTTAGGGTGTATTCACTTATGTTGCCAGCTTTTTTTGACAATAATGGCTGTGTGTTGAGGTATTTTCAGTGGACAGTAAATATAAAGTGCTACGAAAGCAGCACATTGACTACTCTGACAAATGTCCAAGTTTCAATTCGTATTATCCCTTGAGAAGATACACTAAAATGTAAATGTTGACCTGGGATGAGTTTAAAATCACTGTAATAGGCTCATTCACTATTCCCTACATTACCAACCCGATCTCACGGGAATTCGTACGAATTTTACGAA